GTGTGTGAGGAGGGACAGGGTGCGGGAGTGTTGAGAGAAAGAAGAGAGAAGTGTAGCAGCCATAAGAAAGCTGTACGGTGAGGTGAGGCGAGTGGAGAGGTGAGGTGAGTGGAGAGGTGAGGTGAGTGGAGAGGTGACGTGAGGTGAGAGCTGAGGGGTGAGGAACCACTTCAAGGACAGTGACCCTCAACACTGACAAGCTTGCCTGTCAGAAAAAGTCAATAAATATTCCTAGAAAAAAGACAAAACCAAAAAAGAAAATAGAATTTTGTGTGTGTAAACTGCTGTACCAGCAACAGACGACAGACGTGATCAGAAATGTTGGAGGCCGCGACTGGTGGGGATGGCAGGATCAATCAAACTTGTGTCGTGTCAAACGCGTGTGCAGTCATTGTGAAATGTGTCAAAACTCGTGTTGGTTCATTAGAAAAGGTGTCAAATTTGAGTGGACTCATGTGTCAAACGTGTGTGGACTCATGTGTCAAACGTGTGTGGACTCATGTGTCAAACGTGTGTGGACTCATGTGTCAAACGTGTGTGGACTCATAAGGAAATATGTCAAAACATGTGTCGATTCATGATAAAATTATGAGTTAAGATTAAAAGGAAAACAAAAACAAAGCTAAATTCTGAGCAGGCGGAGGTCACGAGGTCACGTGTGAGTTGTACACACAACTCCTCCAGAACCTTCCTCTTCTCACCATAAACGAAATGTGGGAAACCTTCTCCAAAGAGTTATTTCCAGTTCTAACTACCAGAACCAGTTTGGCGAGGAAGTTAGAGTTACCAGAAAGTTAACGAGGGAGTTGGTCATATTATGTAACTAACAAGATCTAGAGTGGTTTGTGGAGAACGATTTTAAAAAACCACACAGAAAAACACTTCTAGGAGGAAAAAGTTTGTCCTAAACGACCATCGCGTGCTCAACTACGGTCAACTTTTCCCTACTTAACCAAACATTCAGCGCTGCAGTTCTGCTGTCGTGGGTTTTTTTTTTTATATTGAGGGTTTTACGGCGCTTGCAACTGCATAAAGTCATATGAGCGCAGTTCTGCAGTCAGAAAAACAGAACAGAAAAATAAACAGACCCTATGTTTGCAAAGTGACATTCAGTCGTTTTCTTTGCGAGTATCGTTTCTGACGTTCGCTTATTTTGGTGACAACAATCCAACATTAATTCTTTTTTGAAAGATCAACCCAACATTTCTTCTTCTCACTGAGATCAACCCAACATTTACTCTTCTTCTCCGTGACCTTGAGATTGAGCACACGAGGCCAGCTCTGACCTTTCACCTCTATCTGTTACTCATTAAAAAAACAACCAACAAAAGAACCACCAGACGATGGGTATACACAGAATTATTGTACACGAGCTCTAGTGATAAAGATGGGGTTATGGTCCAATATTGAGTAATAATAAAGAAGATAATAATAGTCATTATATATTGAGCTCTACCGGTCAGAAACTGAACTTGAGGAAAAGACGGAGCAGAAAAAAACACCGTTGATCACTTACCACCGGCGTCACTTTTGGAGGAACTGATTCTTTGGGGAGTTTTCCTCAGTGTCGACGGGCCATGTCTGGAGAGACAGGGGGGAGAGTATGTTTTATAAATGTTAGAAAACTAAAAAAGATATACTTTATGAAACCAAAAAGTATATTTTATTAAACCAAAAAGTATTCTTTCTAAAGGTCATACAACTAAACGATATAATTTACGAAACCCAAAAGCAGATTTCATAAAAGTTATAAAACTAGAAAATATATTTTATGAAACTCGAACGTCTATTATTTAAAACTAAATGTGTCATGATTGATGAAACAGGGACAAAAGTATATCTCAGAAAATCAAAAAAGTATATTTTAGAAATAGAGGAGGAAGAAGAGGAAGAAGAAGAGGAAGAAGAAGAAGAAGAAGAAGAAGGAGTAGAAGAAGAAGAAGAAGAAGAAGAAGAAGAAGAAGAAGAAGAAGAA